TTTTTTTTAAAGTAAGCAAATACGTGCTCACGTGTGTATAATTATTGACAATTGGTTTCGTTTTTTTTTCCTTCTTCTTCTTTTTCTTCTTCTTCTTCTTCTTTTCGTTAACTTCGTTCACTTCGAAGGACGTAAAATTCATTTTATTTTATTTTATTTTATTTTATTTTATTTTATTTTATTTTATTTTATTTTAATTTTACTTTACTTTACTTTACTTTTTTGTTTTTGTTTGGCGTAATTTATGTTCGTGTTTACTACAATTTATCATCATCCCTTTTGTTATCATTCTTCTTCTTCTTCTTTTTATTTTTCTATTCCTTGGCAAGGTTTTTTGTTCCTTTATGAAATTCTTCCCATTTTTTTACTTGTTCATTTTATTTTTCATCGATTAGAATAAAACGTGCTCGTCAATCAGTTTCTTTCCCATTCTTTTCCATTTGAATCATTTTCTTTCTCTCTCTCTCTCTCTCTCTCTCTCTCTCTCTTCTTCTGTCTCCATTTCTTTCTCTCTCTTTTGAACATATGTTAATAAATATAATATATATATATATATATGCATACTAATATATCCGAGTCCTGTATGGTTTCTTCAATTCTTGGCATTGAAACGTGTGTGAAGATTGTGATATGGCAAAAGCTTTGTTTTTATTTTATATATATATATATATGTAGATACTTCATTTTATGGTTCAAATATGAATCCCCCAAAAAAATCTCAAAGTAAACTTTTAACAAAAGAAAAAATTAAATAACCCTTTTGAATAACAATAATTATTAATTATTTAATATAAAGATATTTAAAATCAAGGAGGAGAGGACGAGAGCACAGGGATTAAATATTAAGCATTTTTTTTTCTTCCTCTTGTTTTTTTTTTCAAGACACAAAAAAACAACCCTAAAGACCAGCAGCAACCTACTAATTTTCTATTATCAATTATACACTAAATATATTTCCCTTTTTATTACCCTCCACTGTCATTCATTAACCGGCTTGGGTAGGGGGGGGTGAGTGTAAGTGGGGAGACAAAATAAATTACAAAATAAACAAAACCAAAAAAATAAACGAAACCGGAAACGAGAGTTAGCAAACGAACTCACAGCAATTATCTCTCTCTCTCTCTCTCTCTCTCTCTCTCTCTCTCTCTCTCTCTCTCTATGTCTCTATGTCTCTCTTTCTCTTTTGTTTTTTTTTCTCTAGGTGGGGGAAGTTTGAGCAAACTTCAATTTAAACCCACCCAACAAGCACGTTAATGGTGTAATCATATTTTTATTCCTTGTTGTTGATTTTTTTTTTTTATCGTTAATTTCGTATGATTAAAAATTTCCTTTTGTTATTTTTTGTGTTGTTGTTGTTTTTGTTTAATGAATTGTCTTTTAACTACCATGATCTTGATCTAATTCGTCCAATGATTCGAGTCTTGCTATTGGTGCTTCATTTATCGTAAATTCCCATGACATGTCTTCGCTAGTTTGCCTAGAAGATTCTTGACGTTGATTATTACTATTACCACCAGCACCACTAGCACCCAACGATTGGACAACAACTACACCAACATCTTGTCCAACACCACCTACACCAGCACCACTACTACTACTACTACTCGTATTTAGTTGTTGACCAGTTGAAGTTGTTGTCGTAGTTGTCGTAGTTGTTAATCCTCCTGTCAATGTTGTACCATGTCTACCACTACCACCACCACCATTATCTGTTCCACGTTGTTGTTGTTGTTGTTGTTGTTGTTGTTGATCGTGACAACGATGATTTGATGATGAATCTTTACGAGAATCACCGCTACGTGGTCTTTGTGTTGTTCCTCTTGTTTCTGGCACAGATACAACGCAAGTCCATGGATCTTCACCTTCAGGTTCGGATCTTTTGTTGAACGAACTGTACCTACTTTTAGAGAAATCAATTTGTTTTTTTTTAGTTTTATTTGTTCATATTTTTCATTGATTTGAGATTAATCAATAAGTATGATGTGATTGTTTGTTTCATGCAATTTGTTTGATTAGGAATTAGGACTTGTGCTTATTGGTTAATTGGTAGGGTTTTTTTGGGGAATTAAAAAATTACAATTTCATTAATATTAAAAATATTATGGTGTAATATTAAATATTAGAGAATATTAAATAATAATAATAGGGTGGGAAGTTGAATATTAGGGTTCGTTCACAACCCATAAATAAAATTTGGAAATATTATATTTAAATATTAGGTTAAAATAATAAACATTTGGGTAGGAAATTAAATATTAGAGTTGTGTCAGGGTTGCGTCAGGTTTGTGTCACAACGCATAGATAAAATTTGGAA